TATATAGTAGGGGAATTTACCGTTAACCATTTAACAGGTTTTTACTGTAGCATTTTTACAGTCTTTTACCTTTAAATTCATTTAGTCTGTTAAAGTAATTTTTTACAGTTGTACAATGCCGGTGTTCTGACAAATAATGCTGACTCACAGCCTGTAAGTACGCTTTCATATTCAAAGGATTTGCCACTGATGATTCAAACGCGAGTTTTGAGCAATGTAGAGTAGCGCTTGTTGTTTGTCGTTTCTCCGATCACAAATGCAGACATGGTTTTATGTTTACGCGGTTCGATTTGCAACGCAAAGCGTAAAACGACAGTATAAGTCATTATAATCAGTACTTATGTCCCCACTGGATGCAACAAATGCCTCGTTTATAATGGGTTTTATTGGTTTTGTCTCTCCGGGACACGGCATCATCACAGTATGGTAAGTATTCGGCCAATCACAACGCACTGGATAGCTGGCCAATCACAGCACACCTCGCTTTTCAGATAGCAACGTCATATGACCCCTTTCAAATTTAAACTACTTCAATTTAGAATTCACACATTTTATAAAACAAAAAGGAATACAACAATGTTAGTACTCATTTTATTAATTAATTAGGGCAAACTGGTTATTTTTGCCTTTATCTGAGGCATTTCATTCTTATGGTTTAAAAAGCAAATTTGAAGCAATGTCACAAAATATGAGATAGATGTGTTCAGTTCAGTGACTGGCTAGAAAGCACAGGTCTGCGTCATCAGTTCCTGAGCGTTTCTCTGCATTATTCTTGAAAATGAACTCTTTATGTCCAGTAACTGCACTGTGTTATGCATGAGATCGCATTACAGTGGAGAATTCAAATGTTTCGGATGCATTGTTTCACCTCTGTCATCTGTTGAACACTTCTTGTTGTCATTCAGAGACATATGGGTTGAAAGACACTTCAGGTGAATAGGGTAAACCTTATTATAAACCTTGTCATGAATCCAGTAGTCTAATAGTCATGAATAGCATATGAATATGACTTTCGTTGCACGTTCTTACAGTCAGTACTTGAGACTCTTGTAAACTGCATTTCAAAACTCACACCCGTAAATAAATGCGGTTGTCAATCCCAAGCACTGACAGTGTGAATATAGCCTGAAAGAAGGCACGTTATAGAAGCACAATAGCACAAAATCTCAAAATTGACCAGTGCATGAAAAAAAAATGGTTTGCATGTAGTGTCTTGCCTTAAAATAAGAATTATCTTGATTTTTCATTGTGTTAGCTTATTTTAGAGCTTATTTTGTCTTATTTTAAATAATTTTAAGTCACCTTGTAAGTTTGCTGAGGGCCCCTAGAATGACGTAGTACAGGTTCATTTGGTGTGTCATGTGATTGTGCTGTAATTGCTGGTCCAGGTTTGCTGACTTGCTCTTTTCCATATAGTGTTATTATGCCACATCCCTCTGAGCAGCTGTGTAGGGCAGATGATCACTGATTCTCACTGTATGATAACATACACACGAGGAGTGTGACGTGGCTTTGGACTCTGTTGTGTTTGGTTGAGTTTCTCGGCACGGCGTCGGTCCACAGATAAGCGCTCAGGCAAAAGGGAGTCTGACATGAATTTATTTTGCCCTCTCTCGCTTTTCTCCATACTGAGGTGAGCCATCTAAATCTTTGATTGGAGGATCAGTGAGAGAGTGAAACCAAACATCTAGATATTGCAAAAAAACTAAAATGGTGCGCAGCCATAAATAATCCAGTGTTCACACCTGCAAGAGGCTCAAGACATCCTGACGTCATTTCTCCTTCCCTGAAAATAGTTTTTATTGTATTTTATTGTAATCTGTCACAGTTTAAGTACTGCAATGTGTCGTCAGAAGAACATTTAAGTATTAAGGCACCAAACCCCAATCTTCCTCCATTTACAGATGTTTGTGCGTTCAGCCAGTTTGGCAATAGAAACAAATCTCAGATTGTATTGGTGACTTATGCTATTTGAACAGACCAGGGCTTCCAATGGCAGATGACAACCAATGACTATGTGTCCTCATGGAATTTGAAAATAATAGGGTCCCTGGATCCGAATGTACAGAATCCATAATCCCACCATGAAACTGCCCAGCCAGTGTCCATATACACTATATGGACAAAAGTATCGGGACACACTCTTAATTATTGAATTCAGGTGTTTCAGTCAGGCTCATTGCCACATGTGTATAAAATCAAGCACCCCGTCATGCAGTCTGCATTTACAAACAGAGCTCAGTGAAATCAAGCGTGGTACAGTGATAGGATGCCACCTTTGTAATAAGACAGTTCATGAAATTTCATCCCTGCTAGATATTCCATGGTCAGCTGTAAGTATTACTGGAAAGTATAAACATTTAGCAGCAGCAACTGAAGACCACGTCAAGTCACAGAGCAGCTCACCAATTGCTGAAGAGTATGGAGCGTGAAAGTCACCAAAGCTCTGCTGATTCCAGAGCAGATGAGATCCACACTTCCACTGGCATTAATATCAGCACAAAAACTGTGCAGCGGAAGATTCATGGATTGGGTTTCTATGGCTGAGCAGCTGCATGGAAGCCTCACCTCACCAAGAACAATTCCGAGAGTGGGATGGAGTGAGTAAAGCACGTCGACACTGGACTCTGGAGCAGTGGAAACCTGTTCGATGTTCGGCAGTCTGATGGGCGAGTACAGTTTGCTGGAGGAGGGATAATAATATGGGGCTGTTTTTCAGGGTTTGGGCTCGGCCCCTTACTTCCAGTTACTTACCAAGACATTTTGGACAATGCCGTGACACTCCAAAATCTTGTGAAAAGCCTTCCCAGAAGAGTGGAATCTGACCAACTCCATATTAATTTCTGTGTGTTTGGAATGCAGTGTCATTAAAGTCCCTGTTGCTGTAATGGTCAGGTGTCACAATACTTTTGTCCATATAGATCTCACGTCTCAGCCAGAAACACACTGATCTGCTGAAATGTTGACTGACAATATGTCCAAATGATCGGGTGTAGCATTGGCCCATTTAAAATGTTTACATGATTACGCTGACGGTTAAAGCCTCTTGGCGTAACATCTCTCTCACGGAGAAACAGATCAGGAATGTATAAATATAACTTTTTTTATTCAGTAGATGAGATGAGTGAGGCAAATAATTCAAATAAAGATAAAGGCAGGAATATATTGAACAGTTGAACACAAGCGCACCTGACAGTCATAAGTGGGTTATGCTGTGAAGATGCTGCTGTGATTTCTTGACACATCTGGGACATGCACATCGCTTGCACAACTTTTTTTGTCAGGCGTCTTGAATAGCGTTGCAGCACAATAAAGGCCACCGTCAGCGACTCCATGGGCTGAATGCTGGCAGAGCCAGGTTTAGGTGTGCGCCGGTAACAGGCACACCATTTGTTTTCATCTGCGCATATGCAAATGACTTTTGAAGCTAACATTTTCTTGTTTTGATGAGTTGACACACTCCTACTAGTGTGCTATCATTTCTGCCCCCTTCTTTTGTGTTGTGTCGATGGCCTTTTTATCTGCAGAATGATTTATAGCGAACATGTTCTTATAATGTGCACAGTCTCACAGTCACAGTTACAGAATTAATGTTGTGCCTACATTTAATATTACTTATGCAAAGAAATTCATATGTAGGCACAATTTATATTTGTCCACCAAATATATTTGTCCACCATTTGTCATCAAAGCTAATTTCACTCATGGAGGGTTTTAGGAATCATGAGAATCAGTCAAGTTTTTCCAGACTTTTCACTGGAACAACATTGTCCCCATATTTATACTTTTTTTCTGATTCTGTTATGGATATATGGATATAAATTGTCTTTACCTGCAGTACAGAGTCACTTGTAAGCAATAAAGAGCTGCTTCATCGCTGAAAACATCTGCAAGTTATGTTTCCTGCAATGGATTGTAGGTACTGTAAATTTCCACCTCATCCAGCGATTTTTATTATTATTTTTTTTTCTGTCTTATACAGTATCCTGTTACTATTTCAGTGTAAGAAACCACTGTAAATGGTTCAATCTGTGAATGAACTGTGTGAATAAATTGAATCATGCACAATTTCAGACCTTTTTACAAACCCTTCTGACCAATTCTGACTCATTTGTGAACAGCTAAAAAAAACATGCATGACATGATTGCTGAAATATTATCAGGGTTTGTATACTGTAATGTTCATCGTCAGATAAGGCTTTATCAGTAATGTTTTATTGAAGCACAGCTCATGCACCAGTAAAAAGGGTCTAGTGTCGCCTCCGGTGCTACACATCAGCCTCATTTTGCCCATCAGTCCCTCTGCTCATATACTGGTATCAGCATTGGTCATCATAAACACATATCAGTTTCTAGCTAAAAATCCAATAGTAAATTTTCCACAGAGGTAAAGCTTTCAATAAGACACTCAAGCATTCGATGTTATTCTCCTGCTGAAGCCAGTTCTGCTTGCTTTAAGTGCTTGTTGAGTGTTCATTTCTCTCCTCGTCTGTGTGTCTGTGCTGTAGTGCCCGGTCCAGTTCCCAAGGAGTTTGTGAGAGCGACTCCGTCGGAGGATAAGATCTCACTGCAGTGGAAAGAGCCTCTGGAGCCCAACGGCATTATAACCCAGTATGAGGTAATGCTACCAGTGTCTTATTCCAATTCCACTATGTTTTACGTGTTTGAGTGCAAACCTGAAGGCTTATGTATCAAAAGCACACACTCTCTTGCATCTTTGTATTTTATTTGGAAAAACTGAAATTAAATGAACCATCCCTATATACAGGTGCATCTCAATAAATTAGAATGTCGTGGAAAGGTTCATTTATTTCAGTAATTCAACTCAAATTGTTTTTCCACGACATTCTAATTTATTGAGATGCACCTGTATAATCGATGTGTTTCAGCAGTGCCGTCTTCTTTTCTGCTGTCTGTAGATCAGTTACAGTAGCGTGCATTCGTTCGACCCGTCAGTGGCGTTGCTGCGGCCGCCTGTTCTGGTGTCGTTACCGTGGAACACGTCGCGTCACAACTTCACACAGCTGCATCCAGGAACCACCTACCAGTTCCTGATCCGGGCCAGTACCAGCAAGGGATACGGACCCCCAACCACACTCAACGTCACCACCAACATATCAGGTATGCATGAGCTCGTGCTGTTACATG